TCCTAGCAAGCTGTTACACATGGCCTAGAGCTTAATTCATAATTTATAGTATTTTAAGACATTTACATGAATATTATAGTGGTTTTGAACTCTAACAAGTATATGTTTCAATGCGAGTGCATCACCCTTAAAGAATGTTTCCAATCAGCGCTAGTACATATTCGATTCAAGTGCTGGTAATACCAGAAGACCATTTGGAATTTTTTTTACAGTACCTAGATAGCATATTAAATGTTCTCATATCAATAGATTAATCTCCCTTGAGTCGTTTCAATCAAATTCATATTCACGCATATTGAACGAGTATTAGAAACCTTAGCTGGTGGCAAGTTGTCAAAATTGGTTCAAGGAGGTCGTCTCATGAAACTAGATTAACCTGATAAAGAAGATGAGTTATCTCTAGAGAAGAATGATCCAACTGATAAAGAGGATGAGTTATCTTTAGAGAAGAATGATCTAACTGATAACGACAATGAGTTATTTCTAGAGAAGAATGATCTAACCGATAAAGAGGATGAGTTATCTTTAGAGTAGAATGATCTAACTGATAAAGAGGATGAGTTATCTCTAGAGAAGAATGATCTAACCGATAAAGAGGATGAGTTATCTTTAGAGTAGAATGATCCAACTGATAAAGAGGATGAGTTATCTCTAGAGAAGAATGATCCAACTGATAAAGAGGATGAGTTATCTTTAGAGAAGAATGATCTAACTGATAAAGAGGATGAGTTATCTCTTGAGTAGATTGATCCAACTGATAAAGAGGATGAGTTATCTATAGAGTAGAATGATCCAACTGATAAAGAGGATGAGTTATCTTTAGAGAAGACTGATCTAACCGATAAAGAGGATGATTTATCTCTAGAGAAGAATGATCTAACTGATAAAGAGGATGAGTTGTCTTTAGAGAAGAATAATCTAATCGATAAAGAGGATGAGTTATCTTTAGATTAGACTGATCCAACTGATAAAGAGGATGAGTTATCTCTAAAGAAGAATGATCTAACTGATAAAGAGGATGAGTTATCTTTAGAGAAGAATGATCTAACTGATAAAGAGGATGAGTTATCTCTTGAGTAGATTGATCCAACTGATAAAGAGGATGAGTTATCTATAGAGTAGAATGATCCAACTGATAAAGAGGATGAGTTATCTTTAGATTAGAATGATCCAACTGATAAAGAGGATGATTTATCTCTAGAGAAGAATGATCTAACTGATAAAGAGGATGAGTTATCTTTAGAGAAGAATGATCTAATTGATAAAGAGGATGAGTTATCTTTAGATTAGACTGATCCAACTGATAAAGAGGATGAGTTATCTCTAGAGAAGGATGATCTAACTGATAAAGAGGATGAGTTATCTTTAGAGTAGAATGATCCAACTGATTAAGAGGATGAGTTATCTTTAGATTAGACTGATCCAACTGATAAAGAGGATGAGTTATCTCTAGAGAAGAATGATCTAACTGATAATGAGGATGAGTTATCTCTAGAGAAGAATGATCTAACTGATAAAGAGGATGAGTTATCTTTGGAGTAGAATGATCCAACTGATAAAGAGGATGAGTTATCTTTAGAGTAGAATGATCCAACTAATTGAGAGGATGAGTTATCTTTAGATTAGACTGATCCAACTGATAAAGAGGATGAGTTATCTTTAGATTAGAATGATCTAACTGATAAAGAGGATGAGTTATCTTTAGAGTAGACTGATCCAACTGATAAAGAGGATGAGTTATCTTTAGAGTAGACTGATCCGACTGATAAAGAGGATGAGTTATCTCTAGATTAGAATGATCTAATTGATAAAGAGGATGAGTTATCATTAGATTAGACTGATCCAACTGATAAAGAAGATGAGTTATCTTTAGAGAAGAATGATCTAACTGATAAAGAGGATGAGTTATCTCTAGAGAAGAATGATCTAACTGATAAAGAGGATGAGTTATCTTTAGAGAAGAATGATCTAACTGATAAAGAGGATGAGTTATCTATAGAGTAGAATGATCTAACCGATCAAGAGGGTGAGTTATCTTTAGAGTAGAATGATCCAACTGATAAAGAGGATAAGTTATCTCTAGAGAAGAATGATCTAACTGATAAAGAGGATGAGTTATCTTTAGAGTAGATTGATCCAACTGATAAAGAGGATGAGTTATCTTTACAGTAGAATGATCTAACTGATAAAGTTGATGAGTTATCTCTAGAGAAGAATGATCTAACTGATAAAGAGGATGAGTTATCTTTAGAGTAGAATGATCCAACTGATAAAGTTGATGAGTTATCTTTAGAGAAGAATGATGTAACCGATAAAGAGGATGAGTTATCTTTAGAGAAGAATGATCTAACTGATAACGAGGATGAGTTATCTCTAGAGAAGAATGATCTAACTGATAAAGAGGATGAGTTATCTCTTGAGTAGATTGATCCAACTGATAAAGAGGATGAGTTATCTCTAGAGAAGAATGATCTAACTGATAAAGAGGATGAGTTATCTTTAGAGTAGACTGATCCAACTGATAAAGAGGATGAGTTATCTCTAGAGAAGAATGATCTAACTGATAAAGAGGATGAGTTATCTTTAGAGTAGAATGACCCAACTGATAAAGAGGATAAGTTATCTTTAGAGTAGAATGATCCAACTGATAAAGAGGATGAGTTATCTTTAGAGTAGACTGATCCAACTGATAAAGAGGATGAGTTATCTCTAGAGAAGAATGATCTAACTGATAAAGAGGATGAGTTATCTTTAGAGTAGAATGATCCAACTGATAAAGAGGATAAGTTATCTTTAGAGTAGAATGATCCAACTGATAAAGTTGATGAGTTATCTTTAGAGAAGAATGATGTAACCGATAAAGAGGATGAGTTATCTTTAGAGTAGAATGATCTAACTGATAAAGAGGATGAGTTATCTATAGAGTAGAATGATCCAACTGATAAAGAGGATGAGTTATCTCTTGAGTAGATTGATCCAACTGATAAAGAGGGTGAGTTATCTCTAGAGAAGAATGATCTAACTGATAAAGAGGATGAGTTATCTTTAAAGTAGAATGATACAACTGATAAAGAGGATGAGTTATCTTTAGAGAAGAATAAAGAGGATGAGTTATCTCTTGAGTAGATTGATCCAACTGATAAAGAGGATGAGTAATCTCTTGAGTAGATTGATCCAACTGATAAAGAGGGTGAGTTATCTTTAGAGTAGAATGATCCAACCGATAAAGAGGATGAGTTATCTCTTGAGTAGAATGATCCAACTGATAAAGATGGTGAGTTTTCTAAAGAGTAGAATGATAAAACTGATAAAGAGGATGGGCTTTCTCTACAGTAGCCTGGTCTAACTGGTCGATCTGTTGACGTCTTAAAGGTGCTTCATTTGGTATCAGACAAAGGCAACATAATTGAATTCAGGCTAGGTATGTCTCCAATTTTGATTTGTTTTGTTGAAAAATGAGGAATAAACGTGTATCAAGATTAAGCTGATTTTTGCATTGTTAAAAACTTATTGATTCGGAAAATTTCCTGATTATGGAAATTTTATAGTTAAAGTTAAAATTCCAAGAAGGATCAATGATTTGAATTCAAAGACGATATGGAATTAAAAATCAATATTATTATTTTACAGACATGTCAACACTGCCATTTAATCTGAAATCTTGTTTCCATCCAATTTGATTCTGAACTAGAAGAATGTCTCTTTGGTAGTATTAAATTTTTTTTTTCACAACATTTATGTGCAACTGAGAACTAGAACCTTTTTTGTTATTTTTTATTAAGAGTCATTGCGTTTGTTTTCTGATAGAACCAGTGAGATGCTGAAACCTTTGAACCATAGAAAGATGAATTTCAGAAGAATTTGAAAAGGGCTCTAAGTTTGATCGAACACTTATGATAAATGATTTATTACGTCACTAATTCCACCAAAATCTTTTCTCTTACGAAATAGAATGATTGATTCAGTGCCGTCATAAATTGGAATCTATTCATGTAACACCACAGAAAATATTTGAGGGGAATTGGGAAATGAAAACGATAGATGTGGTCGAATCATTACCACCTTTACCTCGCTTGACAAGTTGACGGGCATTCTGCTGTATAAAGTATGGGTATGGATAGTTCAAAATGTTAGAACACTCTTTTAAACTTTATGATACTGAAAGCAATTAACATCTTTTCAGAGATATAACTTTTGACATATTCTTTTCAGCATTTAGATTGGTCATTATGCAATAACTTTCTAAATATAATGATAATTGAGGTATATCGATTGTTATTTGGTCTAAACGAGATTTAAACGTTTTATCTTTTAGATTGATTATTTAATCACCAACAACATATCAACTTTCATGAAATCATTAAGTTGCTAGGGAGATCAAGTCTCACTGTATATTGATATACTTGGTATCAGATATCTATACATATATACATGTTTATGTGGTTGTTATTTGATGATATTCCGGGCCAATACCAGATTGAGGTAAGGTAATATATACATTGGCGGTATTAAGGTGTACCAAAGCTCAAGCGTTATTATACGGTTTTAAAACAGATTAGTAGATTATAGGATTAACCTAAACAAGAAAATTTTGGGGTAGGTTTTTAAAAATTTGGTATACTTAAAGAAACCCAAGAGCATTCACTCAAAATTGTTTTTCAGTTCTTGAATTTAAAACTCGGTAAAGGGCGAACAGTGTATTGGGGAAATGGTTAGCGGAAGTAATTTATTTCGTCTATTGTGATCATCTCAGCTTTATCTAAG